TCTTTTTAAATAATTTTCTTGAGTTTTGTTTTAAAATCTTTTCAGAACCACGAGGATACACCACTGAGGTCACCGGTTGTGAATCAAAAGTTCTGAGTGAATGCATTAGAACTTTAATGCATCGGTATAATCCGTATCAACTTTGTATAATGGTGTGAAGTGCACTGTGCTATGAACCAATGTGAGTATTATCTAGCTAGTTGAGTAATTACTAGCATAAGGAACTTCATCTGAGTAGACGGAATATGAAGGTTGGTATTGGGGCGTTTATCTAGGTAAAATAAAATGCTGTTCGTTTCAACATACTCAACTCTTTAAAATTCGTTTCTCAGTATACATGTCAGGTAGTCTTTTAATGGGTTGGATCCCAAATAAACATATAAGAATGACCATTAAGCATTCACATGTGTTCCTTGCATGTTGTCCATATTCATTTTGCATTTCTGTATTTTTGTTATTTATGATATGTTAAAGTAAGGATTTGTTAACAATAAAGTTTGATTAAGTACAAAAACATTTCATCAGAGCATATGAAAGTAAAAAATAACTAAGTAAGAAATAAAAGGAATGGTTGGTCCTCATGGAAACCAGACTTAGTGTGATCTGAGTACTTAGGTCCTGCATTTTGTTACACGTTTTCGTTACACAAGTGTTCTAAAAGAAATTGTCAGTATTAGGCCATGCTTACCTAAAAGAAAGTCATAATGAGACAGACAGCACATTTTTTTCTTATAATTTCACTTGTCGTTACGGAAAGAAAACAATGGATGGATTCAATATTGACCCAAGGTGATATATGTATGTTAAAATAACAAGTTTCAATCCCTAAAAAAGTTAGTTAGTCCTCTGGCATTAATGTCTAAGTAGAAGCATGATCCACTGTTCATACATTGACAGTTATGAATGGCAAATTCAACTACAAATTCCTTTAGTAAAATCCTACAAATGTTTTTCAATCTAAGAAATTCATTAAATAGACTTATAGTGGAGGGCTCTGCACATAAGATGAGGTATACACCAAGTCAAGAATAAGAACTACTGAGCACCATCAAACACCACATATACTGTACTGAATCCACCTAAACAATTTTTTTACACAACCCATGCACCATCAGCTAATAATTTTATTCCTGGTGTGACCTGTGATCAACAAGTGTGATCACTTGCCACATCTATTAACAATTATTGTCTGGTAAGTACAAATGGTTAGCTACGGTTATCCAGCAATCTAACATCTAAAATAAAAGTGTAAACCTACATTAATTGTAGATTTGGTAGCGCAAATTGATTACTCTAGAAATATTTGTACGAAAGCTGAATAACAGTAACATCTCAACAACTTTCTTTTGAATGAGTTCTTCATGAAGTGCTTCGGATAACATTCTTTTTTAAAGAAGCAGAGGGTTTAAAAGGTTGCAATAAAATAACATGATGATTTTCCACTTTGACAAAATATTTGTGAACATGACACATATCAAAGAAGGCCATGTACCATTGCGTTCATTTTGCAAGAGAAGATTTGTTGTGGGATGTGTAATATACTTGTCATATCATCTTGATCCAAACATACTGAAAAGTATAATAACTGCCACAGCCATATGTACACAGAAAATACAAAAAAAATAATGAATAGCACTTCTGTAAAACTTAAAAATTGAGGTACTATGTTTAAGAGATAATATTTGACTTCATCAGATAAGATTTATAACACAGAGTACCTTAAACATCTATATCACAGCCATGTACTATAGTTTTTATAAAACATATATTGTGTATTAAAAATAACACAAGAATCTTTTAGTTTAATCACACTACTACACAATAAGAGTAATCAAGTACAGTATTCTATGAATAGTTCAATAATGCTTTGATGGTAGTCTTTTTACTTGGATTCCATACCCAGAACATTTTCAGAATGTATCTGACATTAAATCTCCCCCATTCCCACTAACCAAAGGCAGTGCTTTGCATAGACAAAAATGCAATACACAAACAACTTGCCTCTGCCCCAACCTACTTTTTTACGACGTCACCATCACAGTTTTGTCTTAACTATGTATTAAGTGAGTTAATTGACACATCAGCTTGAGGTTCCTCTAAATCCATTTTTTCATTCACTTTAGCACAAGATGCCTCAGATAATTGTTCAGTCTCCTCATTGCTATGGCTGTCATTAGAGTTGTCTGTGGAGTTGCAATCTGCTGAATCAGCATTTCCTTGGGCTGCATTGTTGTTCTTTTCACTAGCTTCAAGAGCTTGATAGTGCAGTAGTTTCTCGTAACGTGTTTTTGTTAGTATTCGATGGCCAGGACAATCCCGTTTTTCAGCAAAACAGGCTTTCCGACAACATGCTCTACATAACTTGAAGCCACACTTCGATCCCTGTAAACGAGAATTTATTAAAGTCAGCATAGCTGAAACACATATCTTTTGATTTGGTGATTATTTTGAAGCTTACAAGAGGGTTGGCGCACTCAGAGCACTTTTCTTGACACTTTCGACTGTGTGGATTTAATTTGATCTTTTGAGAGTGCTGGAGTTTTTTAAGCTTCTTTTTGGAGAGTGGTGGATTAGAATCGTTTTCATTATCGTCAAGACTCCTTTTCTCGCCTGATGCAGATTTCTACGAAACACATATAAAAATAAGTAAACAACATCAAATACTTGAGCCGCAAATAGCTAAAAAATTTTATGGAATCTCACATTATTTTCGGTGGATGATTCAACCTTGTTTTGCTTATCTGCTAGTTTGCGCAAGTGTTCTTCGGGTGGAATACGTACATAGGGCTGACAAAGCCACGCTGGTAAAACCACATCACATGTCTCTGCAATTGTCTCTGCAAGAAGGAACATAACAAACAATATACCTGATTTCATCACTAATCATACTAAAGTCAATGTGTTGTTTTTTTTTAAAGTATCTTTAAGATTAAAAATAAATATATTAAAGGTATATGATACTCACCATCTCTCTTGTCTGGATACACTTTTAGCCCCTGGTGATAAGGCAGAAAACGATCTCGTAATTTTAAAACAGTTTTCCGGAAATCTTCTAAGTTTTGTCCTTTGGCAATTTCATGTCTTTCCATTGCATTTTCTGGTAGCGACAGTCTGAAATGTACCATAGGTTTTTAAAAATGAATTAATGAATGGATAAAATTTACTACTGGTATTGATAGATTTTTGAGAAAATTGTAGGGACCTACAGATGATGCATCATTTTAAAGAGGTGGGTCCTGACAAATGATGTTGGGCATGGATATTGTTGGGCTAGATCCAAATATTCCAGACAAAGTTCCCAACATGGAGGGTTAGTGCCCTCAAACAGTGCTGGGTTGTACAGGTTGCCTTCTGCCGTCATCACACCTTTGACGCCTGTCTCCGCAATACATTGTTCAACATCTCCCTGGTATTGAATATTTCCATTGGCGAAAACTGGGATCTTGACACTCTCCCTGAGCAACAAAATAATAACAAAAATTAATGGTAAAGCGATGATACACAAAATAAAACGCAATGCCTGATTATCTAATTCTTTTATACTAACATTACACCAAAGCACAGATTTCACATGACATTGGAAATGCCATGGTATACCAAGTCTATTCGAGTCCACTTACACGACTTTCTTTATGTGCGGCCAGCTCGCGAGCCCGGTCAGCGGCCCCTTCTGCTCCCGGGTGCGGCCGTGCACGGTCAGCATTTGGCAGCCCGCCGCCTCCAGCATGCGCGCGTACTCCACGGTGCGGCCCACGTCCGAAAACACTCGGATTTTGCACGTAACGGGCACCGACAGCCGCGCGTGCAGGGTGCTTACTGCAACAGGATGATATGAGATTGAGATTTAATAAAAATAGGACAAAAGATACATCACAATCAACTTTAAATTGTGGGTGAGGCCTGTCAGGCCCATACGCTATCCGGACACAATATAAAAAGATCACACGAGAAGATAATGACCCCGAATCCAGAGTTATGCCTGCTGCGCACAGCACAGCGTTGTGCTATTGACAGAACTGGGGCGGCCAGCGAAGGATGCCAGCAGCAGAGCCACTTTTTGTGCCCCTCCCCCTATCCCTCCTTCACCTTCTCCTCCACCCCTACGCCCGTCTGGTCGTTTTGCACAATCTGATAGAGTCAGTGTCTCTCACAAGAGTGCATATCTGCTCCTCGTACCTTGGCTGCCGTTGCCTTCCCCAACCCCTTGACGGAGGGGGCGGAGCCGAGGCGGAGCTGCCCTTGGGGGCCCCGGCTCGGGGAGCAGGCCATACACCGATAGCGCAACCCTCCCCTCGCCCAGCCAACCGACCTTCATGCTATCTACACATCTCAATATTGCACGGCGCGAAACGGCTCATGGGGGCGCAAACATGAAAATGTTTCAGTGTTTCTCTCTTTAGGATTCGGACGACGGCCTCACCCATCTCCTTGAGGAGGTCCCAGTCGTCCTGCAGGAAGGCGCCGTAGTGGCCCCGCCGTGCGATGGCCTGCGGGCAGCCCAGGTTGATGTCCACGGCGTCGCAGTACGGCTCTGCCAGCAGCGCTGCCTCCAGCAACACAGCAGTGTTATTGGCACAAAACTGGCGACGAATCAAAAGCAAGAAATATAGTTACAGACCAAACATTTACGATATTTTGGACACTTGCATATGGGACACATCTCGAGTAGCTACCTGCACGATGAGCGGTCGGTCCTCCGGCGTGGACGCGAGGGCCTCGGCGCGGTAGCGGGGGTCCCGGATGAAGACAGACGAGTGCAGCATGGGCGTGTAGCAGAGCTGGGCGCCGTGGCGCCGGGACAGCAGGCGCCACGCCAGCTCGCTCGCGTCCACCATGGGGGCGACGACGAGGCGCGGCGAGCCGAGCGCGCGCCAGAAGGCCTCGCCCTCCGGCTTGGGGCCCTGCCTGGTGGTGGGCAGCGGCGGCGGCGGCGCGGCCTTCTCGACCTGCTTGGCGAGCTCGCGGAGCCCCGTCCTGGGCCCCGGCCCGTCGTCCGGCAGCATGGCGGCGACCTGCAACACGACACGGCGGCCGTCTGTTAGTTCATTCATGCCCCTCGACCCTCGAGGCTCGCGCGCCTCTACCTCCAGGGAAGGCAGAGAACGGGCAAAGAGGCATGCAAACGTCTAACACTTCTGCTCCCATCCCTTCAGCAACTTCACTTCTAGACAAGGCAGGGAAAATAAACCCAATGAATCCCAAACTTTACAAAAGGAGCAAAAAAGACAATCAAACAGTAGCAGAGGGTGGAAGCAGCCCCCCCTCCCCTCCCCCAGGGGGCGATCTCTATCATTACACCCCCCCCCCCCTCTTCCTCCCTTGCCAGTCACCGGCCAATACGGTGCACAAGTTTTCTCGCCCGCGCCGGCCGAGTAAAAAAGTTGAGGCCGTCTTCATCGGCGCGTTGCAGGCGGGGGGCGGAGGAAGGGCGGTTATTTAGTTTAGGGGCGAGGAGCACTGCAATTATCAAGCGAGGCCAGAAGCAGCAGGAGCGCTACGACAGCCAGTACAGGGGAGGAGAGCGAGAGGGCGAGGGAGAGAGGGAGAGAGAGAGCCTTGAGCATGCCTTCGCTCAACTACTTCACTTCGGACCCGGAGCGCGAGTTGATTAGCAGAGGATGGTCCTCGACCAGAGGGGAGAGCGGCCAGGGGAGAGGGGGAAAGATAAACTGGCGGTGGACGAGTGAGGGCGGGAAGAGGAAGAGGTAAAGGGCTGGGCGCGCCCGCCCACCTCCTTGCTGGTTTCTTTGCTCTCGACGGCCCGCCGACTCACCACCCTTACTCGCCACGCCACGCTTTCTCACCACGGCAGTTCCATTTCATGAGCAACGCGCGTCTTTCTGTGTGTAAACTCCCCGCTCACAGGATTTTATTTCCGGGCGTGCGCGTCCTCGAGGAGCAGAGCGACCAGCAGCTCGCAAAAGCACAGAGCTGAGTGTGTACATGCGCGCTCTTCTATACTTTTTCCCGCGAATGGACGCGAGGGAAAACGTCGGTTGGGCGGGGGTGGGGTGCTTTACGCAAGCCTTTTTCTCTGCGCGCACACACACACACAGGTGCACGAAGACGAGCACAAGCAACACCAGCACGGCGCGCACGCGCACGCACACGCACGTTCCCTCGCGTACGTACACCCACACGTACACTTTTCTTTCTGGCGGGCACGACAAGTCGTTCACCCCCACCCCATTCTTTGGAAAATTCAACATAAATAATTCGTAGCCACTGAGGCTTGCAGCCGAGGAGGGAGGGGCGGGCCAAC